ATGCCCAGGGGAGCCGCACATGTCGGGGGAGTGGCACCATTTGGATACTTCGAGGAGCCTCCGGGACTAGAGGCTTCTTGGGTGCCTCTCGGAGTTGGTTGGGATGTCTCCTCGGGGGCTCTTGGGGACCTCTTGGGGCGTCTTGAGGGCCTCTTGGGGCTCTTGGTGGCCTTTGGGGGCCTCTTGACGGCCTCTTGAGGGCGTCTTGCAGGCTTTGAGAGCCTCCTTGAAACCATCGAGGAGGGCATCCAAAGAAGGGGCGGGGTCCCTTAACTACGTCGCCCCCTTGAGCCCCAACGAACACCTTTTGGAGCCCTCTTGGGCGCTCTTGGGGTCGTCTTGGAGCACCCTTGGGGCCCTCGCAGGCCATCGTGGAGCAATCTTGATACCTCGAAAGGCCATTCGGAAACGAACAAGCGAGGCGGCAAAAAATGTGTGTCCTACTGTGTTGGAAGCATGTTGGCCTCGTGGAGGCCTTCTTGGGAGGCCCCGTAGCCGCTTGGATTCGTCTTGGAGCAGTATTGGGGCCTTGTGGAGCATGTTGAAAGCCTTCTTGAGCTATATCGAGCCATTTGGGAGGTCATCTCGTGCGATCTAGACCCCTCTTGTAGCCATCTTGGGCCATCTTGGACGCTCCAGCGCCTCGCGACCCCCCCGGTCCATGCCCAAGGAAAGGGAGTAGGGGTAGAGGTCAAGACAGATTCAGCGGTCGTTTTTAGGCGGACAGCTACTGGGTACGAGTACAGATTCGGGGCCTCAGGTGCGCGACTCTGGGGCGAGGTGCGCCACGCGTGCCAGGCGCGCCGCGCAAGAAAGGCGGACCAGGCGCCCCTGGGGCCCCAAGCGTGCCAGGCACGCCTGGTGCGCCAGATGCGCCACGTGCGCCAAGTGTGCCGCATGCTCCAGCCGCGCCAGATGCGCCACGCTCGGGGCACGCGTAGAGTGCGCCAGGTGCGCCCGCGCACATCGGGAAACATGCCGGCCCCCACCGCTTCTGCCGAAAACCACGTGCACATTAGCGGCGAAGTGGCCACCATGATGTGTGGTGGGCCTGCACACAGCAGGCGATATGCCAGCATCCCCGCCATCCATGTCAACGTCCCATGAACAGTGATCGCGGGGTGCCCGCTCGTGACCCAGATGTAGCCGCGAAGTGTAGTTTGTATGTTTGGGTTGACAGGGGTGCTGGCCCTGCGAGCAGCCTGCCGTATGCCGGCACCCCCGCCGTCCCTGCCAAAAAGAGATACAGAGTGTTCGCGGCCCCCCCGAACATGACCCAAGATTTTGCCGCAAAAAGTGCACGTTGCAGTGTTTTGTTGACAGGGGTGTCGGGAGTCTGGGCGCATGGTCCCAGGTTTGTCGCCGGTCGTCGAGCGAGGGAGGGGGTGCGGATTAAGAAGGGACAGGGACAGTAGGCTTGCACACAGCAGGCAGTATGCCGCCTCACCCTCCGTCCCTGGAAAAAATAACTACTATGTTTGGTTGAAGGGATGGCGGGCTTGCAGACAGAAGGCAATATGTCCGCCCCTCCGCCGCCCCTGCCAGCAAACCCATCCGAAGTGATCGCGGGACGTCCGCGCATGATCCAGATTCGGGTCAAAGTGGACTTCGTTTTTTCCAAAGGATGGTGGAGGGTGTTGGCAGTGCACGCAGCAGGCAAGATGCCCGCACCCCCGCCGTCCCTGGCAATAACCAGTGCAAAGTCATGGCGAGGCGTCCGCACATAGTCCAGATTGGTTTGGTGCAACGTGCCTTTTTGTACTGGGTTTGTCGCCGGTCGTGTGGGGGAGGGCGTGTATAGTAACATAAGGCACAGTGATCAAGCTACCCGCGAAGGACGGCCGTCTCGCTCACTCCCACCCGCCCTGCCCCCACATGAGTTGCATTCGAGTCTCAGCATGTGCAGCGGCCGCCATCGACCATCATCGGGAACCGATGCAGAGGCCAACCAGGTGCGCGACTCCCGCGAGGTGCGCCGCTCGTGCCAGGGCACCACCATCATCCCTGCAATATGACAATGCAAAGTGATCGCGGGGCGCCCGCGCATGATCGCTGCCAGAAAGAGTGTGTTTAGGGGACGATCTGCCCGCACGCAGCAGGCAACGTGCTAGTCCCCACCCCTCGTCCATGTCAAAAAAACCCTACAACGTGATCGTTCGGTGCCCGAGCATGATCCAGATTTTGCAGCAGAGTGCATTTTGAGCTGTTTTTGTTGCCAGGGGGGTTGGCATGGTTCCGGGTTCGCCCCCGGTCAAGTGGGGGAGGGGGGGTATATTGACAAGGAACGATGATATAAACCTTTCCCTTACAGGGAAGAGTGGGGTAGGAATGTCAAACGTTTTTCGGGATCCCGCAAAGGGGGGAGTGCCCTGGGGGGGCGAGTTCGATCGGGTGTTTGCACCGAACCGCCAAAAACAGATGCCCCACAGCCACCAGCAACTCCCGATAGTTGCCGATATGTGGGAATGCGGTAGCATCTGTTTGCGGCAGTTCGGTGCACCAACGGATCGAACTCATGCACCCCCTCAGGGTCACCACCTTTTTGGTGGATCCCGAGCCTTACACCACCTCCGCCCAGCAGAAGGCTGGTGGGATACACGAATCGTCTTGTTCTGAGTCGTTCAGCGCGCAGGGCAGTCCCCCCTCCGAGCAAGTCAGCACATAAGGCGAAACACGGAATACATCAGCAAGCCGCACGTGAACCACGATGGGTAAACAGTTGGCACGGGCGAGGCAATAATTTGAAAGCAAATTCACATCAGACGAGGTGGTTTCCTCAGGTACAAGACGTTTGCCGCCGTCGCTGCCATGGCAAATGGTCTCGGATACTGCGCGTGCGAAAACTTGTGCCATGGAGCAATCCATGAACCAGTTACATTCATATGTTCAGCGGTTGTAGTATCGAAGTCGCCCACGGCGAACCACCGCCGCCCTTGCTTTTTTGGAAGCGCCTGTGTGGCCCAAAGATGGGCTAGAGCTTGGCAAAGCTATCGGACCATGTGTTCCCCCAGCCGTCGTTGAAACCCTTCGGGGAACTCGTGAAGAAGAGGAAAATGAGGGGAATAATGAAAAGGGAGGAAGAGGACGAGGAGGAGGAGGAGAATGAGGAGAAGTAGACCTCTTAGGAGCCTCTTGGGGCACTCTTTGGGTATCCTGGGAGCTTCCTGGGAGCCTCTTGGAGGCCTCGTGAGGTCTTCTTCCGCCTTTGGCCGTCTTAGGGCGTTCCTGGGCCGTCTGACGTCGTCGGAGCCGTCTTGAGGGCCTCTCTGGATCGTCTTGGGGCCCTCTTGGGATGCTTCAGGGTCGTCTTGGAGGCCATCTTGGCCGTCATGGAAGCTTCTAGGATTCAGCACGCCAGGCACCCTTGTGACAAGCACAGGGGGCGGCGGATCGAACGGCCTTCGGCCCATCCCGCCACCGCGCCTGGGTTGTGGGTGTGAAGCCCATTGGATGTTCGTTGGGATATCGTGGGCGGGCTCTCGGGGGCCTCTTGGAGGCAGTTTTGAGGCTTCGTGGGGGCCGTTTTGGGGCCTCCAGGGGCCTCTTTTGGCATCTTGGGGGCCTCTTGGGTGCCTCTTGGGGCCTCTTGGGCGCCTCCTGAGGCCTCCTGGGGGCCTTTCGGGGCGGAAGGCTGAAATTTCGGTTCATGTTCCCTCGCTTCGGCGCTTTTCGGGGCCGTCCGCCGTCTTGGGCGCCCCTTTTGGTGCTCTCTTGGGGCTGTCTTGGGCGCCCTTGTGGCCGTCTCGGGGCCTTCTTGGGCCGTCCTGGGCCTTCTTGCGTTGGATCGTATTCCATGGTTGCAAATGGAGGAACCTTGCGTGCAGCGACAACGGCAAATACAAGGGTGAGTGAACCTGGCGGCCGGCTGCTCTTCCTCGTTCTCCTCCTCCCCCTCCTCCTCCCTCCCCCTCCCCCTCCTCCTCCTCCCCCTCCTCCTCCTCCCCCTCCTCCTCCCTCCCCCTCCTCCTCCTCCTCCTCCTCCTCCTCCTCCTCCTCCCCCTTCTCCTTTTCCCTTCCCCAGCGGGAGACCCCGCCCCTCGTTGGGCCGTCCTGCCTGACGTGGGGGAGTGTTCCGGTGTTCCAGCGGGTCTCTCTGGGGGGCCTCGGGCCGCGTTAGGGCGATCTTGGGAGCCTCGTGTGCCGTCGTGGACGCTGTCGAAGCCCAAGAGGTGAACGTGCTAAGAATATGCGTTTCCCCGAGGGATCGGGACGGCGTGTTGCTTCTTCGCGCCTTTTTGGGGGTTCTGGGGAAGTCCTGGGGCCTCGTCTGGCCGTCTGGGGGTCATCTTGCGCGTCTTTGACCATTTTGGGGACCTCTTGAAGCCATCTGGGCTCGTTTGGGGGCTTCCCTGAGCGGGGTAGGCCGACGCGAGCGATTCCGGCAGACCTCTGGCCAGCCCGGGAAACGATTGGTCAATTTTTTGGTGGCAGCAGCAGCAGCTCTTTCAGTGCTGCACGAGCCTTGTGGCACTCCACTTCGTGCCAGAGGCACGGTGGCGGATTAGTAGTGGCGGTAGCTGTAGCAGTGGCCGTAGAAAAAGGAGTATCGGAAGACACATTGTAGCAGTGATAGAAATGCATTCCATGTTTTGCAGTTGTCGTAGTATTGAAAGTCGTGGCAGTAGGAGTACATCGAATGGAGAAGTATAAGCACATGTGGTAGAGGCAGTACCGTAGCATAGTAGTAGGATGGTAGCGGCACATGTGCAGTATCATTACAGTACAAGTGGTCGTGGCAGCACCGTAACATAGCACAAGTGGTGGTGGCAGTACCGCATGAGGAGCAGGGGGTGGGCGGATCGGGGGCGGCGGCGGGGGCATGCCGGGAGAGGGAGGCGCAAGCTGAGGATCAGGGAGGAAGAGGAGGACGAGGAGGACGAGGACGAGGAGGACGAGGAGGACGAGGACGAGGACGAGGAGGACGAGGAGGACGAGGACGAGGACGAGGATCAGGGGGGAAGAGGAGGAGCAGGAGGCCCCCGTCAGCCCCCGTGCCCGAGGCCGCCGCGGCCAAGGTCGACGGGCAGATAGCGGGCCTCCGGCAGGCCGCGGCCGACGCCGAGCGGGACGCGGCCGACCTGGCGCGTGCAGAGGCGCGCCGCCGCGGGGGCTGCTCCCTCGCTGCGAGCGGTGCCTCTGCACGTACGAAATGGGTACTGAAAGAATGGGTACAATGCCCAACAGCCGATCTTGTTCATTTTGAACAAGGCTCGCTGTCCACGCCGCCGCGGCCTGTGTCCATTCGAGACAGAGGGCCGCCTGCCCAACAGCGGCGCGCCGTCCGGGCTTGCTCCCTCGCTGCGAGCCCAGACCTCCTGGCGTCGTGAAAAAATCACGACGGGAGGTTTTTCGTTATTTTCGCCCTCTGGGGGCCCTTCCCGGGCCTCGGGGCCGTCAAAAAAACGATGCAGGACGAAAAGCCGGTCCCGGGGAAGGGGTCCAGACCTCTGGGGGGCGACGTCGTGAAAAAATCACGACGTCGGGGGTCTGGCTCCCTCGCTGCGAGCGGTGCCCGCGGGAGGCTCGTGCCAGCCCCGGCGCGACCGCGACGCTGGCGCTGGCGCTCAGGGTCGAGCGCCCTCCGCTCCGGAGGGGGAGCAGGCAGCGATGCCGGTGCCCTCTGTCTCGGCTTCGCCTTCTTGGGCCTCCGGGGAGGCTCTCGTCGCCACGGCTGGGTTCGCCGCCAAATGCTGGCCGGAACGCACCCCAGGAGAAGTCCAGGGAGTGGCGGCATGGGTACCGAAGACGCCTACGGCGAATCACCACCGCCCCTTGCCTTTTAAGATACGCCTATGTGGCCAACCGTGTTGGCACAGTTTGGCCAAGCTATTGGACAAAATGATCCCCCAGCTGTGGCGGAAACCACTCGGGGAACACGTGGGGGAGGAAGAGGAGGATGAGGAGAGGGAGGGAAAAGGAGGAGGAGGAGGAGGAGGAGGAGAAGGAGAAGGATGAACAGATATCTTGGGAACCTCCAGGGTCATTTTTAGGGCCTTCTGGGAGCTTCCTGGGAGCCTCTTGGAAGCCTCTTGGGAGCCTTTGGGGCCTTCTGGGGGGCCTTCGGGAGCTTCTTGGGGGCATATCTGTCGCCGTCGGAAGCCATCTAGGGGGCCTCTCTGAGCCGTCTTGGGACCCTCTCGGGATGGTTTGGGAGGCCATCCTGGGCGTCTTGGGGGCCTCTTGGGCCGTCATGGGACCATCTTGGAGGTCGCTTGGGCGCACTTGGGGCGAACCTGGGGCCCCCGTTGGACCGTCTTGAGGCCCGCTTCGGTCGGTCTTGGAGGCCTCTTGGGCCGTCATGGGGCCAACCTGTAGGTCTCTTCGGCGCTCGTGGGGCGATCTTGGGGGCCGTCTTGGGCCGTCGGCAGGCCGGAAAGAAGCAAGACAAGAACTTGCTAAAACAATGAGCAACCAATGATGCTGGCTCCTTTGGGTGAGTGAGATCGATGGTGAGATCGAATGGGTCAGATGTTGGTTCCCCCCCCTCTCCCCCCCACAACCTCCTTATCACCCGAAGGGTGGTCGTATAGGTATTTTCCCCCCCCCCCCCCCCGAAAATTGAGGATCGAGGAGGAGGGGGGATCGAGGATCGGGGAAGCTGGTGTCGTGTCTTCTGCGTCCGTGGGGGCTCCTGCGCCGTTCTGGGGGGCTCACTCACCGTGCTGCTCCGTCGGGCCTTCCTGTATGTCATCTCGGAGGCCTCCTGGGCAGTCTTGGAGGCATCTTGGGGGCTTCTTGAACCGTCCTGGGCCACGTTGAGGCCGTCTCAAGCCGTCTTGGGTGCATCTCGGGTGCATCTTGGGCCGTTTCGAAGACCTCTTGCGGCCGTCTGGGACTCTCTTGGGAGCATCCTGGCCGTCTTGGAGGCCATCTTCAGCGTCTGGGAGGCCTCTTGGGCTGTCTTGGGGGTTTCTTGGGCCGTCATAGGGCCATCTTGGGAGTCTGTTGGGCCGTCTTGTGCCGTCGGAGCACCTTCAAACACCAGTAGAAAGTCAATAATCTTGACCTCTTCGGGCATTCCTGTAGGTCCTCTTGGAGGCAGCGTGGGCCGTCTTGGGGGCTTCTTGGGCCGTGTTGGGCCATCTTGAGGGCATCTTAGGCCGTCTTGAGTGCATCTCGGGCCGTCTCGGAGACATCTTCCTGCCGGATTGGGCTCTCTCGGGGCCTCCTTGGCCATATTGGGCCATCTTAGCCGTGTCGGAGGCGATTTGCCCAATGAGAGGGGGGGGTGAAGAATTTTCTGGGTGGCCGGCGGATTAGGCCGAAGTCCCAGTAGGAGTTCTTGCGAAAAGATCCGCACCTTCCCAGACATCCAGCATGCCGCGCACCACTGCGGCAAGCCACAGGTGGAGCAGGATCGAAGACGCCTACGGCGAATCACCGCCGCCCCCTGCCTTTTTTGGACGCGCCTATGTGGCCGAACGTTGAGGCCAGAGCTGCCAAGCTATCGGACCACGTGTTCCCCGAATCGGTTTGGAAAGCCTTCGGGGAACACGTGGGCATCTTGAAGGTCATCTTGGCCGTCAGGAGGCCATTTTGACTCTTTCGGGCCTTCTTGGAGGACGTCTTGGAAGGCTCGTGGGCCGTCTTGGAGGCCATCTTGAGCGTCTTGGAGGCCTCTTGGGCCGTCTTGGGGGCCTCTTCGGGCCGTCTTGGGCGCCTCTTGGGCCGTTCTGGGGCCATCCCGGAGGCCCCCCCGGCGATCCTCGGGCGATCTTTGTCTTTGTGAGCTCCCGGGCCGTATCGGGCCGGAAGGCCGAAACGAAGCAAATGTCAAAATCCTTCAAAAACCTTCGGAACATCACTATATTGGGCCTTTTATGGCCTTCCTGGATGCCCTCTTGGAGGCCTCTTGGGCCGTCTTGGGCCAGCTGCGAGCCACCTTCGGCCATCTTGGTGGGCTCCTGGCCCGTCTGTCGCCGTCGGAAGCCGTTTCGGGTGCCTTTCTGGGCCGACTTGGGGCCCTCTTGGGGTGCTCCAGGGCCGTCTTAGAGGCCATCTTGGGCGTCTTCGAGGCCCCTTGGGCCGTCTTGGCGCCCTCTTGGGGCCGTCTTGGGGGCCTCTTGGGCCGTCATGGGGCCATCTTGGAGGCCTCTTGGGCGATCTTGGGGCGACCTTGGCGGCCTCTGGGGCCGTCACGGACCGTCGGAAAGCCGAAAAGGCGCAAATGCCAAAATCCTTCAAGAACCTAAGGAAAATCAATGATTTTGGCCTCGTCGGGCCTTCCTGGAGGAACTCTTGGAGGCCTCTTGGGCCATCTTGGAGGCCTCTTGGTGGCCTCTTGGGCCGTCTTGGGCCATAGTCAGGCTATCTTAGGCAGTCTTGGGTACATCTTGGGCCGTCTTGGAGGCATCTTGGGGCCATCTGAGCCGTCTTGGAGGCCGTCTTGGCCGTCTTGGAGGCATCTTGGCCGTCTTGGAGGCCATCTTGGGGGCCGTCTGGGGCAGGCAAACAGTTGGCAGCCACCTCTTCCGGGTGGCCGGCGGGACGGGGCGGAAGCCCCAGGGGGAGTTCTTTGGGAACAAGAACGAAAACCAAAACAACTGAGAGGGTCCAGCACGCCAGGCACCCCTGCGATGAATCGACAGGGGGCGGCGGATCGAAGACGCCTACGGCGAATCACCGCCGCCCCCTGCCTTTTTTGGACGCGCCTATGTGGCCGAACGTTGAGGCCAGAGCTGCCAAGCTATCGGACCATGTGTTCCCCGAATCGGTTTGGAAAGCCTTCGGGGAACACGTGGGCATCTTGAAGGTCATCTTGGCCGTCAGGAGGCCATTTTGACCCTCTCAGGCCTTCTTGGAGGACGTCTTGGAGGGCTCTTGGGCCGTCTTGGAGGCCATCTTGAGCGTCTTGGAGACCTCTGGGGCCGTCTTGGGGGCACTTAGGCCGTCTCGGGCCGTCGGAAGGCCGAAAACAAGCAAATGCCACAGTCCTTCAAAAACCAATGGGAAATTAATGATTTGGGCTTTTTCGGGCCTTCCTGGAGGCCCTCTTGGAGGCCTCTTGGGCCATCTTAGGGCCATGTTCGGCCGTCTTGGTGGGCTCCTGGTCCGTCTGACGCCGTCGGAAGCCTCTATGTGCCGACTTCGGGTCCTCTTAGAATGCTCCAGGGCCGTCTTGGAGACCATCGTGGGCGTCTTAAAGGCCTCCTGTGCCGTCTTGGGGGCCTCTTGGGGCCGTCTTGGGGCTCTCTTGGGCCGTTCTGGGGCCATCCCGGAGGCCCCCCCGGCGATCCTCGGGCGATCTTTGTCTTTGTGAGCTCCCGGGCCGTCTCGGGCCGTCGGAAGGCCGAAAAGAAGGAAATGCCAAATTCCGTCAAAAACCTTAGGAACATCAACGTGTTTGGCATCTTTTGGCCTTCCTGGAGGCCCTCTTGGGGGCCTCTTGGGCCGTCTTGGGCCAGCTTCGAGCCAACTTCGGCCATCTTGGTGGGTTCCTGGCACGTCTGACGCCATCGGGAGCCGTCTTGGGTGCCTTTTCTGGGCCGACTGGGGGCCCTCTTGGGGCGCTTCGGGGCCGTCTTGGAGGCCATCTTGGGCGTCTTGGAGGCCATCTTGGGCGTGTTGGAGGCCTCTTGGGCCATCTTGGGGCCATCTTGGGGCCGTCTTGGAGGCCACTGGGGCCGTCGTGGGGCCCTCTTGGGGGCCTCTTGGGCGATCTTGGGCGCCTCTTGGGCCGTCTTGAGCCGTCGGAATGCCGAGAAGAAGCACATTCCAAAATCCTTCAACAACCTTTTTTTAACACACATATATATATATATAGATATATATATATATCTATATATATATATATATATCTATATATATATAGATATAATGATTTCAGCTTCTTCGGGCCCTCCTGGATGACCTCTTGGAGGCCTCTCGGGCCGTCTGGGAGGCCTCTGGGGGGCCTCTTGGGCCGTCTTTGGCCGTCTTGGACTCTCTCGGGCAGTCTTGGAGGCCGTCTTAGACCATCTTGGGCGGACTTGGAGGCCATCTTGGGCCATCTTCGCGATTGTTTGAGAATGTCCCGAGCGAAACGGCCGTTTCAGGCATTGATTTATGCAGTTTCCGGGTGGCCGGCGGGACGGGGCGGAAGCCCCAGGGGGAG